TCATCTTGATGCCGAGAGCCGCCTCGGTGGACGGCTGCATCCGGAACGAAGACGGGTCCTCCGTGGAACTCCGCCGGCGCCCCCCAGCGGGGCCATCGGGCTCCGCGGATCAGGCCTGCTGCTCCCCGCTCCGGTCTCCAGTCTCCAGTCTCCGATGCTGCCATGCTGTGTCCCACTTCCTGCCGTGAGCTGTTTGGAACTCCGCGCGAATTTCGGGGGCGTGCTCAAAAGTTCTGGGGGGTCCTGGGACACCTTAAGATAGATGTTCGCGCCCCCGACGCCATAATCCCTCGCAGATCATATCAGACTCGCGCCCCAGAGGCTATAATCCGCGTCCCCGAGGCCATAAACCCTTGCAGGTTGCCTGTGTTCGCGCTCCCGAAAACTCAATTCCTTCCAAATTACATGATCTTCGCGTCTCCGAGGCAACACTCTCTTACAAGTTACACCATATATGCGTCCCAGAAGCCACGATCCCTTGTAAATTACACGTTCTTCGCGTCCCCGAAATCATAAACCTTCATGAACTATGCACTATTCGCGCTTTTGAGGCCACAATCCTTCATAAAAGGCCCTCAAGGCGGTACAAGAGGCCTCCGAGACGGCCCAAGAGTGCTCCAAGGCGGTCCCAAGACGGCCCAAGAGACTCCCAAGAGGCCCCCAAGAGCGCTCCAAGAGCCAACGCTGCTTCACGACGGCGCCCAGGCCTCACAACATAGCTCTTGCACCCCATTCTCCGAGAGAGGGGGCCGGCGGCAGGGGGCGGCGGCAGGGGGCGGAGCCCTTACGGATAGTAAGGTCACTCGGGCAAGGACCCAACGGCTGGCTGACTCGCTTTCCCATTCGATCCTCGGCCGCGGGCAGTGTGCTGGGACTGTTGCTTCCATTGCCGCAGTGATCGCTCTCTACCTTGTTTCCAAGATGCTCTTTTAGCAGCTGCAGTATTGCCTTGGCATTATCGTGGATGCCGTTGCACTGGCGAGCCAGCCGCAGCAATTCCATCGGCTTGTTGTCCTGAGATGCCTTCAGGACGCCATCGCAGAATTCCTCCACGTCGATGCTGCCACTGTTATCGAAGTCCAGCGTGTGGAAGAGCTCCTCGCAGTCCTCCATCTTGGCAATCTGCTGCAGCTGCTCCCTCAGCTCCTCGGGCGCGTTCAGGATCTCCTCCAGCTCGAGGTTGCCGCTGCCATCTTCGTCCAGCTCGATCCGCCGACGCCCGCCTGCTGGGCGCCACTGGGCGCGTGCGACGTGCCGGGCTGCACCCCCCCCGCCGGAGGAGAGAACGTCGGGCTGGGGCGTGCCTTCTACTTCTGACCTGAGATCCTGGCGTCGCAATCTGTTCGAGCCGGGCGCTTTCACCCTTCGTCGGGCCTGGAGACCCTCGCAGATCGATGCGGCTCGAAGAATGACGCAGACAGAAGGGATCCAGGGCTCTGGGCGTGATTTGTCACGATGTGGCAACCTTTTCGCTGCGTGGATCTCAAGGGAGAAGGCTTCCTGGAAGCCAGGAGGGCCTGGCATCTGCATGAAATCAGTGATTTCTCGAAGGTCCGTGCGCTGGCTGCGCCCCCGGCGCCGCGCCTGGCGCACTCCGCGCCAGGGAAGGGGCCCAGCGCCGACCCAGGAAACCCACGCGGCTCTCAGAGAAATCCCCCACTGCCCCTCCCCAAAAGCTCCAGAATCCCCTCCCCAGAGCCCCTCCCCAAAAGCTCCAGAATCCCCCACTGCCCCTCCCCAAAAGCTCCAGAAATCCCCACTGCCCCTCCCCAAAAGGTCCAGAATCCCCTTCTGGAGGGGGGGGGGGAGTGGAGGAAGGGCTCCTTCCGCCCATCGGCTACACGCAAGAGCGACCTTGGGCAATAGTGACCTTCGGTGCGCGGCTTTACGGAGGACGCGGGGTGACCAAACCTGGGCGCGCAGGCCGCTGCTACCGCTTCGCGTTCGGCGATCGGAGACCCCCATTGGGCTTGTGTTGCTCCCATCGTACTGAAGGACCACTTTCCGAGCACCCAGAGAAGTATCGAAACAGCGTCGAGCGAGTATCGCCTCCCAGGCCCCGACACGTGAAAACCCTCAAGCTTCGGTACTGTCTTGAGGCTCGAAAATATGTCTGGTGGCCAAGGCTACAGTAGATTGGAACATCCTTACATGGGACCCACATCAAAGGTCACTCCGGCGGAAGGCCGGACGCACCCCCAGCTGATTCTCAACGATCCCCAAGCCTATCCAGGGGCTGGAAAAGGAGGCCTGGGGCAGGCCCCGTGAAGGCCCCAAGAAACCCACATAAGATCACGAAAAACTTCAAAACAATCCCCCACAATGCCCCCCCCTTAAACCCCACACGCTACGTAAGACAGGCCGAAACCCCAAGATTGCACAGCGATCGCGCGCGTTCCGCGAACTCCGGCTTTCACTCTTGCTGCCGCCCCAAGGGGTCGGCGGTGCGGCGTAAGCCAATGAATCAAGCGCAAGTTTTTCCCGCGATGTGGCGGTGCCCCAGGACCCAAAAATCTGAATGCTCGCGCCGATCGTGGCGATTGCAAACACAAACGCCTGACCCCGTCGGCCGCGTTTCGCTCGTCGACCAACATGTAAACTTGCGCCTGATTCCGAGGAGGGTTGTGGAACCTGGGGAGGGCCACCCAGAGGCCGAAAGCGTCCAGAGACCTTCCGCCGTCGTGGCTCTGTGCACGACGCGAGGGGGTCTGGAGACCACGAGGGCGCAGAGTGGCGGCGCCAACCAGGGGGACGGCGCCCCCCCGGGATGTCCCAGAAGCCAGGAGGGCATCTCTGGAGAAACATCTGCACAGATCTACAGGGCAACTTCTAATACATGGGATGTTTAAACATATGGGCGTTTTCTAATACATGATTAATGCATGAATACATTTATGCATGAACTCATCGTTGTTTTTGATACTAAATCCTTGCATTTGTCATACATGATCCGCACGCGGAGCATGTCTTAAAAACGGCCCTGCAGTCTCTCGGAGGTCCGCGCGGATCTCCTGCATCGGCACCGACCCCCTCCCTGGCGGAGCGCGCCGGGGGCAGGAGGGCCCAGCGCCGATCCGGGAGAGCCGCGCGGGCCCCGGAGCAATCCCCCCCTGCCCCTCGAAAGAGCCGGAATCCCGTTCTGGAGTGGCAGGGGCGCGCCAGGGGCGGCTTTGGAGGCGCAGCCTGGGGGGGTCCAGCGCCGATCCAGGAGCTACGTGCGGACCTCCATAAGTTTAGCTCTTTGGCGGCAAATCATGAGAGCCTAGTATACCCTCCTAATTCCGTCGTCAGCGGAGAAAGGACTTCCCCCCCCTGCGGTGTCAGCGGGGAGGCTGGCGGAGCCTCTGGGATGAACATCGCTTTCAGCTTGGGGAGGGCCTTCTTCCTGCTCGCGGCTTCCCACGCTGACTCGGCCTCCTTGTCCCGGGCGGACTGGGACAAGGCGTTGTCCACCATGAGGGCGGTAACCTAGAAAGCATGATATTTGACGAACCAATGCATTGACCTAAAGAGTAGATGTAGAACATTCGACCCAAACAGAATAGAGATAAAACAATAACAAACAAACAGATGAAGAACAAAAACTAACCAGCCTGCGCAGGTCCATTATGAGGCCGCATGTTGGTGTACATGGCACACGTGTCCCAGCCAGCTGATATCGACGCATATGCATAAGCATGTATACATATACGGACTCAAATGTACACATGTGCATTGATCACACATAGATTATGTGTTGATATACAGCTGGGATATATATATATATATATATATATGTATATATATATATGTATACACGCACATTCATCTATCCCTCCCTCCATCCATCTATACCTGCATCCGTCCATATTTACACGCATCCATACATCCATGCATGCATACCTACCTACACCCCTGCATACATAAATACATGCATATATGCATGCATACAGACATGCATACAGACATACCTGCATGCATACCTACATCCATAATTGTCGGCAGGTTTACATGCATGCAGGCATCACATACATACATACATACATACATGCATACGTACATACATGCATACATACATGCATGCATGCATACATACATACATGCATACATACATTAATGCATGCATGCATATATACATACGTAAATACATACATGCATGCATGCATACATACATACATACATACATGTATACAGGCAGACAGACAGACAGACAGACAGACAGACAGACATATACATACATGCATACATACATACATACATACATCCATACATACATACATACATACACACATAGCTATATGCATGCATACATTCCTACATGCATGCATGCATGCAGCCATACCTATATGCATGCATAAATGTATGCATGTATGCATGCACATATGCATACATGCATACAAATATACGTACATGCATGCATGAACACATACATACATATATACATACATACATACATACATATATACATACATACATACATACATACATACCTACATACATACCTGCATACATACATCCATACATACATACATGCATGCATACACATATATATATATACCTGGCTATATGCATGCATACAGTCCTACATGTGTGCATGTATGCATGCAGTCATATCTATATGCATGCATACATGCATGCATGCATGCGCATATGCATACATGCATACATGTGTAAATGAATACATGCATACATACATACATGCATCCATGCATGCATGCATGCATGCATGCAAACATACACGTATACATGCATATATGAATGAATGCATGCATGCATGCGCACATATCTACAGACACGCACACATACATACATACATACATACATACATACATACATACGTACATACGTACATACGTACATACGTACATACATACACACACATACATACATACATGCATACATACATACATACATACCGACCTACATGCATACATGCATACACACACGCATACGTACAAGCAAGCATGCATACATGTATATTACATACATAAACACACACACTTACATGCATGTATACATACATTCAGACGAACATACGTACGTACATACATACACTCGTACGTATATACATACATGCGAGAAAGCGCGCCCGTGGCGCACCCTCAAAAGGGTAGCTACCCCGCCCCCCTTGGACCTGCCCTGCCGGAAGGCACCCCCCCTCCTTTGTTTTCTCGCCCCTCGGAAACCGTCGGAAACTACCCCCATCCCACCCCCTCTCGCGCTCTGGAAGCTACCCCCCCTCCCCCCTCCCTTAAGAGGGGGGGCTTAGCTACCCCCCCCTCCTTGAACTTCCGCTGCCGGGCCCCCCCCTCCTTTTTTCCGCCCCGCAGAGATCCCCCCCCCCCCTCTTTTCGCGCTCCGGAAGCTACCCCCCCCCCCTCCCTTTCCCAAAGGGGGGGGGACGGGCTTGGATACCCCCCCCCTCTTGGACCTCCACTGCCGAAGCCCTCCTCCCTCCTTTTTGTTTCTGCTTCTCGGAAGCGACGCTTCCCATGCGAACGTCGCCACTGGGGCCTTCGGTGGAGCTGCCTATGGGGCCACGAAGTGCTGTACTCACTGGGGGAAACGCATGCGAACAGCGCCATTGGGGCGTTCGGTGGAGCTCCCTATGGCGCCACGAAGCCTTGTACTGGGTGGGGGAGATGCATGAGAAGGAGATCCTTATGGGTCCACGAAACGTTGCACTGGATGGAGGGAACGCATGCGGAGGACACCGCCACTGGAGCTGTCGGTGGAGCTCCGTATGGCGCCACGAAGCAATGTATTGGGTGGAGGAGACGCATGCGAACACCGCCGCTGAGGCCTTCGGTGGAGCTCCTTATGGGCCCACGAAACGCTGTACTGGGCGGAGGAAACGCATGTGGACACCGCCACTGGGACCTACGGTGGAGCTCCCTATGGGTCCACGAAACGCTGTACTGGGTGGGGGAAACGCATGCGGACACCGCCACTGGAGCTGTCGGTGGAGCTCCGTATGGCGCCACGAAGCGACGTACTGGATGGAGGAGACGCATGCGAACACAAGCTGAGGCCTTCGGTGGGGCTCGTTATGGGCCCACGTAACGTTGCACTCGGCGGAGGAAACGCATGCGGACACCGCCACTGGGGCCTTTGATGGAGCTCCCTATGGGTCCACGAAACGTTGTACTGGGCGGGGGAAAAGCATGCGGACACCGCCACTAGGACATTCGGTGGAGTTCCTCATGGGGCCACGAAGCGCTGTACTAGGTGGAGGAGACGCATGCGGACACCACCACTAGGGCATTCAGCGAAGCCCCCATATGGGGCCACGAAACATTGTACTGGGTGGAGGAAACGCATGCAGACACCGCCCCGAGGGCCCGGTGAAGCTTCCTATGGGCCCACGAAAAGCTGTACTGGGTGAGGCGAGCGCAGGCGAACCATGCAACTTGGGGCCTTCGGTGGAGCTCCCTATGGGGCCACGAAACGTGTGAGATGTGTGCCAAAGTGGAGGGGGGGGCATGCGAACGCAGTCACTTGGGGTCTTCGGTGGAGCTCCCTACGGGGCCACGAAACGTGTGAGATGTGTGCCAAAGTGGACAGGAAACGGCATGTGAACGCAGCCACTTGGGGCCTTCGGTGGAGCTCCCTATGGGGCCACGAAACGTCTAACGCAGCCACTGGGGCCTTCGGTGGAGAAGCCACGAAACGTCTGAGGGGTAGGCCAGAGTGAACAGGAGGCGGCATGTGAACGCAGCCACTGGGGCCTTCTGTGGAGATCCCTATGGGGCCTCGACACGTGTGAGGGGTGGGCCAAAGTGGACAGGAGGCGGCATGTGAACGCAGCCACTGGGGCCTTGGGTGGAGCTCCCTATGGGGCCACGAAACGTGTGAGGGGTAGGCCAAAGTGAGGGAGTGACGCGAGGAGGGAGGAGGGGGAGGTGGAGGAGAGGATAGGAGAAGGAGGAGGACGCGGGGCACCGTCTCTTCAAAACGAAGACCCAACACCACAGGATGGTTCGGAAAAAACAAATAGCTTTGAAGCCCCCTCCCCTTGGCAAACCAATTTCAGCTGCGAAAAAGAGCGGGGGTAGCTTCCGAATCCCCCCCCCGCCCCTTTGAAAGGGAAGCCCGGGCTAACCTTGGGCTCCGGAAAAGGGGGGAGGGGGGGTAGCTTTGAAGCCCCCCACACCCCTGGCACGGTAATCTCGGCTGCGAAATGGAAGGAGGGAGCTTCCGAAGCCCCCCCCCTTTGAAAGCTAAGCCCAGGCTGGCCTTGGGCTCCCGACAAGGAAGGAGGGGGGGGAGCTTTGAAGCCCCCCCACCCTGGCACGGCAATCTCAGCTGCGAAAAAGAGGAGGGGGTAGCTTCCGAAGCCCCCCACCTTGAAAAGTAAGCCCGGTTAACCCTGGGCTCTGGAAAAGGAAGGAGGGGGGGTAGCTTTGAAGCCCCCCCACCCTTGCCACGGCAATCTCAGCAAAGAAAAAGAGGGGAGGGGCTTCCGAAGCCCCCCGTGGCCCCGGAAAGGAGGGGAGGGTAGCTTCCACTCCCCCCCCCCTTGAGCTAGGGAACCCCTGGCTCCGAAATGTACACAAAAGGGGGGGAAAGGGGGTAGCTTCGGAAGTCCCCCCCTTTCCCAAGGGAGGGGACGGGGGGTAGCTTGAAGCTGGCGCCCCCCTGTTAGTTTGAAGTGCGCCACAAGCGCGCTCTTTCGTACATACATAAACGCATGCACACACACACACACACATCAATACATACATACATACATACATACATACATACATACATACATACATACATACATACATACATACATACATACATGCATCCATACATACATGCATGCATGCATGCATGCATGCATACATACATACATACATGCATACATACATACATACATGCATGCATACATACATACGTTACATACACTACAAACATTACATACATTACATTACATTACATTACATTACATCACATTAAATTACATACATACATACATACATACATACATGCATACATACATGCATACATACATACATACATACATGCATATACACACATCCACACATACACAAATACGCACATACACACAATCACACAATCACACCTATATACATACATACATACATACATACATACATACATACATACATACATACATACATACATACATACATGCATGCATACATACATACAGACAGACAGACAGACAGACAGACAGACATACATACACCTACACATACACATACACATAAACATACACATACACATACACATACATACATACATACATACATACATACATACATACATACATGCATGCATGCATACATATATATATACATACGTACATACACACATACACACATACACACACATACATACATACAAGCAGACAGACAGACAGGCAGACAAACAGGCAAACAGACAGACAGGCAGACCTACATACATACATACATACATACATACAGACATGCACACCTACGTATCTACACACCTACGTGCCTACCTACATACCTACATACAAACAAATACAAAAACACATATACATACATCTACAAAGTCCAAAACAAATACAAGTCTCAATACACATACATTTACAAATGCAAATACACATGCAAATGCAAATACACATGCCAATACTACTACCAACAGCAATACCAATACCAATACAAATACCAATACCAATACCAATACACACACGTATACTTATACGTATACACGCTGAGGCATGGCTCTAACCGTTCCCGAGGACGCGTGGTTGTGCATATTTCGCTCGCTCGTCCTGCTCCTCATCATGCTCCTGTTCCTCCTTCTCCTCCACCTCCTCCTCCTCCTCTTCCCGATAACCAGGTTCATGAGGGTGATGGACACGACCAAGAGGTAGGCGGCGAAGTAGATCGTGAGATAGGGCTTGGCGACGCAGATTGGCACGTAGATCTGTCCGATGCTGTCGAGCGTCAAAAATACGTCAGCCCCTGTGCCGTCGGGGATGGGCAGGCGTGTCCGATGTCCCACGTCATCCTCCCCCTCCTTCTCCATCATCATCATCATCATCAGCAGCAGCAGCAGCATCATCATCATCAACCTCATCCTCATCCACGTCAGCATCATCATTATCATCATCATCATCATCATAACCATCAGCATCAGCATCATCATCATCATCATCATCATCATCATCATCATCATCATCATCATCATCCCCTTATCCTCCTCCTCGTTCACATCATCCCCCATCGCACATCACCACCACCACCACCATCATCATCACCGCCGCCACCACTATCACCACCACCACCACCGCCATCACCATCATGATCATCAGCATCATCAGCAGCAGCAGCATCAGCATCATCATCATCATCATAATCCTCATCATCATCAGTATCATGACCATCACCATCATCATCATCACCATCACCATCACCATCACCAGCACCATACATCATCATCAGCATCATCATAGGCATCATGATCATCATCATCATCATCAGCATCAGTGCCATCATTATTATCATCATCATCATCATCATCATCAGCGTAGTCGTAGTCGTAGTCGTAGTCGTAGACTTTGTCGTTGCCGGCGGCGTCGGCGTTGGCATCGGCGTCGGCGTCCGCGTCGGCGTCATCGTCGTCGTCGTCTTCGCCTCGTCCTCGTTCTCGTCCTCCTCATCGTCGTCGTCGCCGTCACCGTCGTCAACCTCAACATCAACATCAACATCACCATCACCATCATCATCAACAACGACGCCATCACCGACATGGCCATCATGATCATCATCATCATCATCATCATCATCATCATCATCATCATCATCACCATCATCATCATCAGCAGCATCATCATTATCAGCATCATCAGCAGCGTCATCATCATCATCATCATCATCATCATCATCATCAGCATCAGCATCGTCATCATCATGGTCGTCATAATCCTCGTCCACTTCATCCTCATCCTCCTCCTCGTCGTCATCCTCCTCCTCTTCTTCCTCCTCGTCGTCAGCATCATCATCATCTTCAGCATCGTCACAATTGTCACCACCACAACCATGATGATCATCATCATCATCATCATCATCATCATCATCAGTATCGCCATCATCATCATCATCATCATCATCATCATCATCATCACCACGATCATCATCATCATCATCATCATCATCATCAGCATCATCATCATCATCAGCATCATCAGCATCAGCATCGGCATCGGCATCAGCATCATCATCAACATCATCACCATCATCATCTTCATCACCAGCATCATCATCAGCATCATCGTCGTCATTAACATCAGCATCATCAGCATCAGCATCAGCATCAGCATCACCATCAGCACCATCATCAGCATCATCGTCATCATCATCCTCCCCCTCATCATCGTCATCATCATCAGCATCATCAGCATCAGCATCAGCATCGTCATCATCAGCATCAGCATCAGCATCATCATCACCATCATCATCATCATCATCGTCATAAGCATCATCATCATCACCATCACCATCACCATCACCATCATCATCATCATCATCATCATCATCATCATCATCATCATCATCATCATCACCCCCATCACCATCACCAGCCCAAGAAGCCCCCAAGAGGCCCCCAAGAGCGCTCCAAGAGGGCCCAAACAGCAAGGTGTTATGCCTCGAATTGCGAAAACGAGCTCATTTTCGCTCCGTCCCTTTTTGAGCCATGGGGCACCCGCCATTTTGAGCCATTGGACCCAAGGTCGCCCCAGATAGCCCCAAAGAGTCCCAAGAGGGGCCCCAAGACGTCTCAAAAAATGACCCAGAGGACCCCGAAAAAACGTCAAGAGGACCCCAAGAGGCCCCAAGAATACCCCAAGATGGCTCAAAGAGTCCTCCAACAGGGCCTTAGAACAAAAGATCAGCGTTGACCTCCTCCTCATCCTCATCATAATCATCAGCATCATCACCATAACCATCATCATCAGCAGCATCGTCATCAGCAGCAGCAGGTATCATCAGCATCATCATCACCATCATCATCACCATCATCATCCCCATCATCATCATCATCATCATCATCATCATCATCATCATCATCATCATCATGATCAGCATCATCATAATCAGAATCATCATCATCATCATCAGCATCATCATCATCATCAGCATCATCATCATCATCATATCATCATCATAATCATCATCCCCATCATCATCGCCATCACCAGCATCACCATTACCATCATCATCATCATTATCATCAGCAGCAGCATCGTTATCATCATCACCATCATCAGCATCATCATCAGCAGCATTATCATATCTCCTTTCTCCTCCTCTTTCTCCTCCTCCTCCCTCCCTCCCTCCTCCTACTCCTCCCTCCTCCCCCTCCTCCTTCTTATCCTTTTCCTCGTTTTGCTGGTCCTCTTCCTTCTCCTGCTCCTCCTCGTTCTCCTACGTTTCCTCTTCCCCTCCTTCAACACCCTCACCCAAGCAACCCGCATGGCGAAGATATGCGAAGCGTCGAGAATTTGCCCGAGGATCTAAGTCACTGGCCGTCTCGGGTCTCCCTGTGCCGCTGGGACTCTTCTCGCCGCCGCGACCAGATCTGCCTGGAGGGTCTGGCCAGAGCGCCCACCAGGACGCGCCCCTGGGACGACGTCGAAGGCGGGAGCCTCGGCCTGGAGCCTCGGGAGAGGCAGAAGAGACAGGAGGAAAAAATGGGATGCACAAAGACGTACTAGTACTATATGTCATCCTTGGACGCGCGCGTCCGACCCGAACATATAGTATACCCATCTTGTAGTATATCGTTTCCCGAGCGGTGTGGCCAGAATGCGCCCGCCACGACGCATATACTATAAGATTCCTCGGTGCGCGCGTCGCCCCTGGGGGGGCGACGCACATATAGTATAAGTATGTTGGGGTGTTGCCGAAAAAAGGGGGGGGGGCCGAGGGCAATCTGGGACGGGGCCCGAGGGGGCCCCGGGAGGCCCAGGCGCCAGGCCCCGGGCACTCGAGACCGGCCCCTCCCTGGGCGGGCCTCCTCGGGCGGCCGCCTCTCCCCCCCCCGCAGGCCGCCTCGCCCCCCGCGCGGGCGGACGGTGGCCAGCGTCACCCGCACACCCCCCCGGGCAGAGCTCGGAGGGCTGAGCCACTGACGAAAAGCCACCAGAACAACCTAAAATGACGAACCTAATATCACAGGGAATGAAAGGTACCACAACGACAAAAAGGGATTCAAGCAACAGACAAGGACGACAACGACGAAAAGGGATGCAGACGACGACGAAAGGATGTCAACGACGAAAAGGGACTCAAAGGAACTCACACAACGATAACGAACTGGACGAGCGCGTTCCACTACCCGCAGAGGAACTACTCGCAAATGGCCTGGACCCGCCGCGGGGGGTCTACGATAAGTTACCTCGGAGCAGGCATGTGTGTCTTTGTCGGACGTTTGCGAGCAGGCGCTCTGCGAGCAGTGGGACGCGCTCGGTGACATTCGAGGCCCTCGACCGACCAACCTCGTTACCATTACCCAGGACGAACACCATGGTAGAATTTCACACCGCGCACGGCTGCGCTGCACATCGCGCTGCGCACGTGTCACCCGGAAGTGAGTCGTCCGCCTCTCACCCCTCGGGCACTGCCAATCGATCTGCATGAAAGATGCGACGACGCCGACGCGCCTCAAAATGCGCGACGACGACGGCGACACATCGGTCGGCGAATGAGCGCGTCACTTTCCAGACCGACCAGATGCATGGCAACTATAAGCGGCTCTAAATTCCGCATCGGCGCTCCGAAAGTTTTGACCCGCTTCTTGCTCCAACCAAGACGAGTCTTATGCGGGAGCGCCATTGCGAATCCGAGCCGAAGAAGTGCCGACCTCTATACTCGAGGAAGTCCTAGGCGGGAGCGCCATCTCAAAATCGAACCAGAAGGGTATCGAATTCCAGTTGTCAGGAAGTCCTGGGCGGGAACGCCATTTCGAAATCGAATCCGAGAGGCTCCGAATTCTGTTTCGGAGGAAGTCTCAGGCGGGAGCGCCATCTCGAAATCGAACCACAAAGGTTTCGAAATCTAGTTTGGAAGAAATATTGGGCGGCAGCGCAACTTCGAAATCGAACCCGGAAGTTCTGAAATTGTTCGAAGTTGTTGTTTGAGGAAGTCTCAAGCGGAAACCGTCGTTTCGAAGCGGCCACACCGTCTGGCATTCAAAACCTTTTAGCTCCTGACCAGAGAATTCGAATGTATGGTTTTCGCTTGAAGCTTCCTCCAAGAAAAAACGAATTCGACTGGATTTCGAAACCATCGGGTTCAAATTCGAAAAGGCATTTGCGCCCGAAACTAAAGCAAACCAACGCTTGAACAGAACTTGACGTCTCCTCTCTTGTCGCGGGCGCAACGCCACTGACAACGTTGTACCAGGGCCTCGTCACCTAACGGGAGGCGCTGCGTTTGTTTACCAAACTCCCGTAGCGGCGAGGTACTCTCATCCCTTCCCCGAAGACGTGCTGAGAGTGGCGCGTTCTCCTCCGCGTAATGTTTCTGCACACAAGATTAATCAGAAATTATTATATGTTTATGTGCTTGTCGCATCCGGAAAGTGTCGGTTCTTACAGAATGGCGCTCCCGCTGCAGCGTGGGCCTCATTTTAGGATCGGCTATTTGGTCCCGTCGTTTAGAATGGCGCTCTCGCCCCAGCGCGGGCCAATTTTCTGATTCCTTACCGTTGTCGCCCCCCTCCTGTCCGCTCCTCCGCCATCCCCTGGTCCTCTTGCTACTCCTGGTCCTTCCACTCCATCTCCTCCTGCTGCGTCCTCATCCTCCTCCTTTCTCAGCCTCCTCCGCTTTCTCCTGCTCAACCTTCTGCTCATCCATCACCTCCTCCCCCAATGTGCGCAGCTTCCCTTCTCTGATTGCGCATAACACGATGGGGCACGTTTTGCAGTTTCAGGTCCGCTGTGACACGCGTCGGCGGATAAAGAGAAAATCAGCGCAATTGGAAGGCATGGCAAGGAGGGGTACGATGTCAGATATGGCGCGAGCGCACCTGGTTTGCCATCGCCCATCCCCCCTCTCGTCCTCTGTCGCTGCCCAGACGTTAGCGAGTCCTGGCTGTTGCGTCTCCCCTTCTCGTTCACCCCACCCCTCCTCCTCGATTACCCCCCCAGGGTCGGCGGAAGGGCGCGGGCTCCCAGGATTGTATGAGCACCAGCATGCAGCGACCGAGGCTGTCGTTGAACATCGTGACGGCTATCTGGTACTCCTCCCCGGCGCCCTCGTCGGGCCGCACCACCTCCAGCAGGGCAAGGCATCGGGGCTGCGCACGGGACAGCCCCGCAGGGATGCAGCCAAGCTGCAAAAGAACGAGGCCCCCTGATGGCTCAGAGAGCGCCCGGGTGTATCCAGGGGGGGGGGGGGCGCCAGCGGAAGAGCCGTGGAAGGACCCAAGGAATAGCGAGGCCGTTCCGAGCCCGAACTGCTCCTCGACTCGGCGCCTTGCCTGTGGCCCGAGCTGCCTCCGACAGGGCCCCGGGGGCAGCCCGGGGCAGCCTTGAATCAAGCCTTGAACCCTCCGAGCGCCGAACCCCAAGGCGCCCCTGGGGCGCCCCGGGGTCGGTGGCTTTCAAGGTCCTTTAAGCTCGGGCACCGCGCCCCGCGATGCGCGATGCGCGCGTCCCTTCGCACCCTCGCGCCGCCGCCCATCAGAAGGGCGCCTCTCCGACCCGAGCCGCGGTGCGCGAGGCGCGATTATCTTCGCACCCCCGTGGGGCGACCTGGGTTGAGCACGCTGGGGGGGGGGGGCCAGGCTTCCCTGAGGGTGACCTGGGTTGAGGACGCTGGGAGGGGGGGGGGGGGGGCGCGATTATCTTCGCACCCCCATGGGGTGACCTGGGTCGAGCACGCTGGGGGGGGGCCCCAGGCTTCCCTGAGGGCCTCTCGAGGCCAGCCTCCGCAGCCTCCAAGGGGCCGGTACGCGCGCAGCCCTGGACCCTTCCACCTCATGTCTTCTTCGAGGGAGAGGAGAGCGGAGCGCGACAGACCCTCTCGAATCGAATCGAAAGTGCGAGTGCGGCGGATCGAATCGACAGACCCTCTCGAATCGAATCGAAGAGACCCTCAACACTGCGGCAGCTGCAGCGCGAGGCGAAAGTACACCGGGCGAACAAGGAATGCTGCGCGGACCCTGCCACCTCCAGCCCCAGGACGGCAAAGATGTAAATGAGGACGACCATGATAACGAACGTCCACATGATGGTGAGGAACGAGTTAATGAGCCCCTGCACCAGCAGCCACAAGACCCTGAACTGGACCAGGAGCCTCGAAAGGGGAACGCACAGAAAGTAAGGGCGCGGCAGCGCTCCCCGCGCGCCTACCGCGGCGCCCCTTGCTCCCAAGCACCTCAACCGTATATCCTAGAACACTCCTCCTTTTCCGCCTCACCCTCGTCCTGCCCCCCTTCTCCCCTCTCTCTCTCTCTCTCTCTCTCTCTCTCTCTCTCTCTCTCTCTCTCTCTCTCTCTCTCTCTCTCTCTCTCTCTCTCTCTCTCTCTCTCTCTCTCTCTCTCTCTCTCTCTCTCTCATAACTAAGCACCCGTCGCACCCCAAGACCTGTCGGTACGGCGGGCCCGGCGTTTCGCCTGAGACTTCCTCACCACCCGTGATCCTGAAGATGGACAACCGGAAACAGCTACACGGACGGAGGCCGGTCCCTTTCAACACGCGGCGCTCCCCTTAGCGCCGCGCACGCTCGTCTTGTTGCAACAGCTTCAAAGATGGAGCACACGTAGTTTAAGAATATGGTTTTCGCCTTAGCGCCGCGCACACTCGTTGTTAAAATGATGCAGCGGTTGCAAGGATGAAAGGGGCAGTTCTCGAAACGCGACCATCGCATCAACACCGCGCGCATTCGTTAAAGATGCTGCAGCAGCTTCAACGAAGGAGCCTTTTGTCGTTTTCAAGACATGGTTTTCGCCTTCGCGCCACGCAAAGTCGTTCTCACATGATACAACCGTTTCAAGGATGAGGTGGGGTCCCAATGTTGCTCTCGCCTTCGCGCCGCGCACTTTTCTTTGCAAATGTCGCAACACTTCCAACGATGGAGCACATGTCATTTTCAAGATTATGCTATCGCTTTAGCGCTACGCACACCCGCTGAAACAAATTGCAACAACTTCAAGGATGGAGTGTGGTCGTTTCGACATTGTTACCCTTGCCTTAGCGCCACGCACAGTGTCGCGTAAACTTTGCAACACATACACGAACGGGGAGCGGCGCTGTTTCAAAATGTGGCTCTCGCTTCAGCGTCAGCGGCTGCATATATTGAAAGCAGTTCCATGACAAAACGGGGCTATCGTTTCAGATGTCCTTGAAACTCGTGGCCATAAATATAAACTTGCGCAACAGGTATACGGATGGGACGTCCCTGTTTCGGGACGGGGATATCCCTGGGCACGTCGCTGAGCTGCATGATCATACCTTTTTTCCCCACTCCGGGTTGTAAAGAATGTGGTTGAGCATGTCAAGCAGATTACAAGACAGACGCCATATCGACTGCACGCCATCATCTGTCACAAAAATCAAGCACGCTAAATTCGACGAGGGGAGCCCCAGGCCCGCCGAAGTAGAGACTGCGCCGATGCTCATCTGCCATATATTGAGCACGATACCAACATCACAGTACCTCAAAGCTCGAGCATCCAAGCGCCAAAACTTCAACTTCCTGGCCGCGATGCGCAGCCCACGGTGGCCCAGGACATCGCGCCCCCCCCTCTGCCCAGCAGACGGCGCCAGGTCCAAAAGAGGGGGGGGGCCGAGCGCCCAGAGTTGGCTACCTCGGTTGCTTCTTCAACCAGCCCCACAGTGCAGCTCCGCACTCTGGCTGCGGCACCCGCTTCGGGTACTCCATGGCGAAACTGTTTTTCTTGACCAAATTGATGATCAGTTTGTTGATGCAAAGCAGAGGTCGCTGATAATCCAATCGACCTTCCAATTGCGGCCCTCCTTCGGAGCGCTGAATCTCGACTGGGAAACAGCGGCCACCTGGTCTCGTTCCACCTGTGGCACCTTCTGAAGCCAGTCCGCCATCGCCGCCACCTCCGGGCGCGAGTCATTGCGCTCGTCCTTGATCAAGCCCATGGCGCACGCGAACGCCCATATCTGCTTCCTATGGCATCCCGACCGGTGCTTCGGGGATGGCATCTTCTTCTTCGCGTCCTCGTCGCTCACCTCTGGCTTCTCGCCCCCCCACTTCTGCATCAACTACAAGATTGCATGTCTCGAGAGACCCGGCTTGAAAATGCACACCAACACGACATTGCAATTACCATATGCTTGGCGTCTGTCTTGCGCGACAGGTACTTTAGTAGTGGAAACAATTGGTTTTCAAAATGTTTGGTCTTTAGAAGCTCTACGTGACGACGCCCCCGTCGCCACGCGTGCCCTCTGCGTGCCTGCGGGGGCGCCGCCACGTAGAAGTACTGGAGACCGAGCATGTAAGGCGTCGCTACGCACGCCCTCTGCGTGGCTGCGACCATTTGTTTAAACCCCAAAACCAATTAAATTCACTAACAAAGTAGTCTCTCGTCAGAGCACGACGTGCGACAGATCATTTGCATTCTCTCTCCGCTGAATTCTTTTTTTTTATATTCTTCTCAGGAACGCTTCCAGCGGCTGCCCCCCCCCCCCCCCGCGGCCCCCACTGCTGCGCCCACGTCCATCTCGCGAAAACTCCAGCGCACGGAATATACTGTTCCAGATGTCCAAATCCAAGAACAGTGGGGCCACCCCACCTGGGAGCAGTTCGTCGCCAAAATACTGTTCCAGATCAAAATCCAGAAACAGCCCCCGCTGAAATAAGCCAAACATTGCCATGATATAAGCTGAAAGCCAAGACAAAATATCAAGTCATCACAGGACCCATCAGTCACGGCATCGCACACGATCAATCCCGCAATACTGCAAACATCAAAACATCATGGCACAGACTGCCACACATCAAGCACATCAGAATAATCCAAGGCAAAATACATACGCCCATCGCACTTCACACTCAAACCACGCCCAAACTCATGCCCGCCACAAACTACAATTCCAACGCATCATGACACAATGATCCCCGCAACCTTTCATGCAATTGATTCGCTGCCAAAGCACAGGACTGGAAGGGTCACCCTCGACCAGCCTGACTCGCAATCACAATTCAGCTGCATTTTCTGCTGCGTTGCTCCACCGGTGCGCATTCAACGGCAATCCAATAATTTCTCTCCTGCGCGCGCGCTTCCCACCGCGACTGTTAACCTTCGACTGGAAGAGCGCGCCACAGTGCGGACAGGGCCGGGTGCGATCCTGCTGCGCGCTTAAACAACCACGTGTTCTCGCAATCCACACAGCACGCGGCATGCGAACACAGTTGCACCCACGCGCTGCTGCGTTGCTGATGCTCGCCAGGTTCCTTGCACCGCTGACACTTCCGCTGAAGCCAGCCTGGGGGGGCCTCTGGAGGCCGCGATGGCAGGCGGCATGCCCCCCCCCCCACCACCCAGCAAGTATATAACTTTGGCCACCTCCCACCCATTCCGATCCACGCAATGAACTCCTGCACCTCGCGCATTCGGAACACGACGCACATCCCCACCCCTGATATTTATCTCCAAAACAGCACCCATGCTCACGGCATCGATAACAATCCGAGGACACCCGACAGTTCACTCCACGGCATAGGCGTTCAAACGACACCACTGGAATAGGATCATCTTTGAGACACTGCTCAATAGTCGCCTTGCCGGTCGCCGTATTCCACCCACCCGAAAGATGAAAATAAGCATTCCCCTTGGTACGTTTCGTGGCTTTCTTCCCTTGGGTCGTCTCCTCCTCGCATCTCTTTCTCCTCTGCTCCTCAATCTGCTGATTAATACTCGTCTGTTGAGCTGCAGCGTTCACCTCCGCCTCCTGTTTTTTCCTCTTGAGCGCGCGCCTGATCGATGTGGGCACCGCCTCCTTCAGGCCCGCATGGGCCTCCATCCCACTCCTCTTCTTCCCGCGAGCAGGTACCACACTTATTGCTTGATCCCCCGGTGGAGGCAGGTTCGCTGGGCGGGCGCGCTGCTGACTAAGTCGACGGGGAACCCGATCACGCGAGGCCCAGGGAGGGTCACCAGCCACAGGAACGAAACTCTGTTTATCAAGAAGCCTTCTTCTGGGTTGAGGAACCACTGGCATCGCATTCGATCTGGGCACGCATACCTGGCAGCCCATCTCTCTTCGCACGCGTTGCAATCGCGCTTCATCTGCCGCTGCTGCCGTCCGCGCTGGAACTGCCACCTGGCCACTTCCTCGTACACCCATCTCTTTTTCCTCCTCCTTGCGCCAGCGAGCACTCGCGATCTCGCGCCGTTGCTCTGCGTTCCGAAAAGCGCATGGCAACATGTGCCGCGCCAATCGCCTCGGCGGCCAGATGTCTGCAACGCCGCCGCTCAAACAATGAGGACACTGCGCATGGCCCTGCCGGTTCAAAGAAATATCCGCCATCGCTCCCCACCGGGCCTGCCAGCGAGCCAAAGTCTGCTCGCACGTTCCCCCTGGAGCGCGCTTGACTTCCAAGGCCTCCTGGGCGTCTTTGGCTCGCTCAGCTCTGACCCACAGTCGGGCGACGCGGCGCCATGCAATGCGGTCCTCGGCCGATACCTTCCAAGCTCGCTCGCGAGGATACCGGGAATCCCCTCCTTCCTTTGCCGCATTCAACGCCTCCTCCACCCTCCTTGAATACTGACTACGCGTTGACGGTCTGACCGCGTTCTCCTCACCCCTCGGGCATCTACTGAAATCGGGGAACCATCCGCACAACATCTGGCGCTCCAATCGTCGCGCAGGCAAACAAACGATATGTCCTAGAAACTGCAATTGACGCTGCCCGACATATACCCTGATGGCGTCGAGCTCGAAACTGGTTCGCAGGTCCTGCACGGCAATCTGATGGTCGTGCATGGCCCCAATCTTTTGCCCACTGATCCCTCTCACCACCCGATTCCAGAACATCCCACATGGGTTCAGCTGCTGCGAGGTGAAGCTACGGGCTTCACATCCGCGCAGTAGCGCGGCTAGCCCGTGGCTCTCACTGCCCGTCCAACCGCTTTCGGCTCCAATCACCACCGAGGCAACTGTTTGTACACGCTCCTCCACACCAACCCAGCACGTGGCAATCGCTCCTTGGCGTCGCTGTCGCAGTTTCCATTGCCCTGGACCCAAGACCCCAAAAAGCGCACCTCCTCCTCGGATAAGTCATTCTCCTCCCCCTCCTCGATCTTTCCTGCGCGCAGTCGCTCATATTTTTCAAGTGCCACCTCCTTTCCCCAGGGCCTAAGGGCATCCTCTGAAAATCCCCCCGCCTCCGCCCAGCCCGACGCGCGGACCATCGCGTCCGCGTCGTCCGCGCAGAGGAGCTCAAGAAGTCTTGGACCCCCAATGGGCAGCACTCGCACGATGAGCACGTCCACATCCCCCCTTGGCAGGATGAGGAGGTTCGTGGCGCGGCTACGCATTGCGAAACGAGGGCAAAGCGAGAGACCTTCTGGACATCAAGATGGACCCCCAAAGACCAGCAGGCTCTCCGAGGCAATCCCGTCTGCCGAAACAATCGAGACGGACAGCGATGACGAACGCGATCGACGTTTCCGATGCTGTACCCTTGGATGTCAGGACCGAGTCGAGTCTCGTAAAGACCTGGTGTCTCATCAAATCAAATCTAAAGCAGACGGGCGTGGACTACCATCAGTACTTACTAAAGTTTGTGGATAGTAAATGTACTGCATGCCACACCACCTTCCCCGATACTGATTTCTGCTGTACGATATGTACGATGAGCATAGCAAGCTGGACGATGCATGCATGACTTGATACATCACACGTACACATGGTACGCATCAACAGCTACGATGTGTCTTCTAAGTGAATATGATGTAGACCCTGCATGCCATCATGATTATGTAGATCCTGATAAGGTACGACAACATGTACACACACACCTACACACCTCCCTCCGTCGCCATGCGGATCGAGGCTTAAGCTTGTATTCAGGCGCGAGGTCAGCAAGCGACCGGCACAGTCGAGCAGCGCGGCGCCACCGCCACCTCCAGTCCCAAAGCAACCTCAGCCAGTACGTGCCACGGCTGCAGCTTGCCCACAGGTATGACGAGCTACTGACAAGCTACTGGGCGGAGGAGCCGATGCGACTGCCCACCCTCTACGACCACGTGGGCTACGACCTCGACAGGCATGCCGAGTGCCGACAGCACCTGAGGCCAATCCACCACTGAGGACCACAGATTCGACGTCTACGCCTACCACGCCGCGAGCACCTCATGTCCGAGAAACAGCACCCACCCACCCACCCCCACCCACCCCAGGACAGCCAGCGGCCAGCAGCGGCAGCAACGAGAAAGCGCCGCCTCCAGGTGGCCTCAACGAAGGGCTCAGCGGCATCTGGCGAAGGATCCTGTCCCGTTCGGCCGCCAGGTGGCCAAGCCACGGCTCTGGCACACGATGGACGCTGGCCCCCTCGCCCGATCTCGGGCCCGAGAGGCCCACCTGTGGGACGCCGACGGCGCGCCCCAGGCATCTGCTCCACCCCCAAGCGCAGGGGCATCGGGTCAGGCGGACGGCATCGGCAGCGGCGGCGACGGCCCCTGAGACTCGACGTCGGGGAAGGAAAAATGCAACACTGGCAGGGAAAGCACGATTGGGGCCCTGGATCCCGCCCTCCTGCGGCATATATCTCTCGAGCCAGATCGATATGCGAGGGTGTCCAAGGGCCCGGAGCCGGGCGAAAACGCCCGGTCTGAAAAAAAAATGCGAATTGTTGTTTGATCCTTGGGGGGAATCTGAGGGGCAACGGCGACGGCGGTGACGGCAACGGCGACGGCGGCGGCGGCGGCGGACGACGACGGGCCGCCGCGGCAGCGGAGGCATCGGCGCTGGGGAGCCTGGCCGCCCGCGCGAGCCGCGCGAGGCGGAGCAGGCGCACGAGCATGACGTTCGCCAGGACGTCGCTGCCGTTCGCCAGGATCTTCACGATTATGTCCATGAGCCCGCAGGCCACCTGGGCTACAGTGAGAATCTGAAGTAAGGACGCGCTGTAAGGACGCAAGACCCTTGGACGACCCTTGGACGACCCTTGGACGACCCTTGGACGACCCTTAGGCTTTTTTTAATGGCGCACTGCCGAACAAATCTAAAGACGCAAGGGTGCCCTTGGGAAGGTGACCCGTCCTTACTATAGATGTTCCTCGTCGGGGGGAAGAGAGGCCTTGCGCGCGAAGGCACGCAGAGACCTTGCGCAGGCTGCCAGCGCGGCACGCCGCGTGGAGGTGGGGGGCGCTCGCGCACGACCTTCCACAGGGGCAGAAGGCGCGCGAATGCCCGCGCAGCCGACCCCGTTCCTCCAAAAGCGCCCGGCTCCAACCGCACCTTCGTGTCTGCGGCCGCGGAGAGGTCAGACGGCGGTCGAGCAGCGCCGGGACGCTTCGCGAAGCACAGCGAGGCACGGAAAGACTGGGAGCGCGCGCGGAGGCGCGAGGCGTCCAGAGAGGCCGGGAGGGTGAGGGAGTCACACTCCGGCCATGAAAGTCTGCGTGTGGCGCAGGACCTGGAAGTGAAGGGCGAGCAGGAGGGCGGAGCCGAACATGGAGCCCGCGTCGCACCACCACAGACACACTCACTCACTCTCGCTCTTCTTCTTTTTGTTTTTCTCTCTCTCTCTCTCTCTCTCCCTCTCTCCAGGAGGCGAGGTCCCCGACACCCTGCCCCACTCTGCCGGGCGACCCTGGAGCAGGCGGCGGGGGCAGGTGCCGAACCACCACGGGGCGCGAACAGCTACCCGAGCAGACCATCGCCCTCGGCGAGGATCGGCGAAGGCACAGAGGAGCAGGGTCGGCAGAGCAGGCTGGGAGAAGAGGAGGAGCAGAAGGTGGAGGATGAGCTAAGGAGGAGGGGAAGGACGAGGAGGAGGATGAGGAGGAGGAAGAGGAGGAAGAGGAAGAGGAGGACGACGAGGAGGGAAGGAGGAGGAGGAGGTCGGGGGCGGCAGAAAAGAGGCCCTCGAGAGGCCCGGAAAAAGCCTCCAAAGCCAAGGAGGCCCTAAAGAGGCACCGAGGAGGCTCATAGCTGCGGCCGCACGGCGCGGCACCCGTATCGCGCGGCAGGGTGCTGCTGCGGGAGTCCAGAGGCACCGGGTCGCAAAGTGGGCGGCAGCGCAGCTGCATTCGGGAATCTCACCAGCCCTCTGGGCGAAGGTGGTCTAGTGAGGCCCTTTTTCCAACCCCTTCCTTCCCCTTCGGGGAAAGGTTGATCACTGCTCCTCATTGGTATACACCCCCTCCCCCACCCGACCCGCGCCCAACCAGCGCCATGAGGGCCCGCCCCCCACCATCCCTATCAACAAACCATAGAAACCGCACTCTGCCTTCACATGTGCAGTATGCGCGGTCAAACCGATGCGGCCCCCCCACCATCCCTGCCAAAAACATATGTCCAGTACACTTTGGGGTCAAGTCTTGCGTCATGTTCGTGAGGCCCGCGAACACTTTGTATTGTTTTTGACAGGGACGGCGGGGGTGCCAGCATATTCCCTGCCCGCGCAGGGCTACCATCCGTGACAAAAAACCATACAACATGCACCTCGCGGCTAAATCTGGATCGTGCGCGGCCATCCCGCGATCACTGTCAAATCGTTTTTGATACGGACGGCGGGGGTGGTGGCGCGTGGCCTGCCGTGCGCAGGCCCACCAGACACAATGACGGGCGTTATTTGTCGACAAGGATGGCGGGGGCCGACATGTTTCCCGATGTGTGCGGTCACGTGCGCAAGCGCACCTGACGCACTCTGCACGTGCCCCAAACATGGCGCATCTGCGCGGCTGGAGTGTGCGGCACACCTGGCGCACTCGGAGCACGTGGCGCATTTGGCGCACCAGGCTTGCCCGGCACGCTTGGGCCCCAGGGGTGCCTGGCGAGCGTGGCGCCCCTGGCACGCGTGGCGCACCTCGCCCAAGCGTCACGCACTTGGGGTCGGCTTTGGTTCCCACTAGCTGCCCATCCAAAGACGACCGCTGAACATGCTCAGGTTCGGGTGTTACTTATGTGTTGGGAGGGCAGGTGGGAGTGAGCTAAAAGGTTTGCGGGCGGGTGGGTAGCTTGACCCCTCCCCAACCTGGACAGGGGGTTCCGCGGGTAGTTGGAGCGTCCAAGATGGCACAAGACGGCTCCAAGAGATTTTTTGGGGGGGGTACGCGGGCGCGCGAAGACGAGTCGAACGCCGAGCAAGCTAGGGCGGGCCGTGCCGAAGCAAAAGAAAAAACAGCGAAGCGAGCGGGGCTGGTAGGGATTGTTGGTCAACGGCCTCGTGAAGCGGGTCAAAAGGCGTCCAAACTCTAGCCGGGCCACGACTGGGCAGCGGAAAGCGGAAAAGCGGAAAAGCAAGACAGGCGCAGCTAACGGGCGGGCTGGTAGGGATACTTTTTGGTCAGCGGCCACGAGACAAGGGTCCGGCGGCGAAGGCAACGTCCGGGCCACGAACGAGGCGAATTAGCTACAACAGGCACAGGCCGGCCGGCCCGCTCACAAAGCAGCCGCGAAGCTGAAGGGGAGCTAACGGCAGGGGTGTCCTGGGAGCTAGAGCACGCGCACAGACAAAATGTCATGGAATTGGCGCCTGCTACAATATGAGACGTGAACCAGGATAACCAAGTCCGTCAATCTAAGTGGGGGCGAGTGCGAGGCCGGTGGAGTGAGTCGCCGGTGGGGCGCCAGGCTCCAAACGCCCTGGACGACGCGTGCTAGCTGGGGGGGCTGAGCTGTCGCGGAACGTGATGCAACGCAACCTGCCGGAAGCTGGTGGTGAGCCTGGGGTGCTGTAGCTGCTGCGGAAGGCTGAACCACTCCGCGGCGATACCACCAACCGTCAGACCACCCGACAGTGCAAGGGGGAACCAAGCGACTGTGGGCCACGCAGCGCGTGCCGGCACGGCGTCAGGCCTCAGAGCGAGGGGGGGGGGGTCCCGCTGGCGTGGTGAGCATCGCCAGCGGGGAGAGTAAGGGGGTGGGCGGCACTAGCGGTAGTGCTGCCTTCTGGATAACGCCAAACTGAACCGGGGACGAGCGCATCCCCAAGTGAACAGACCTGGCTGTACCTCCCGAGGCACGTGGCGTCTGCGCGAGCAAGGCGCACCGATGCCCTTAGGCGAGTGGCGCCTGTGCGAGAGGGGGCGAGCCGATGTCATAGGGCGATGCGCCTGGAGGAGCTGCACTGCGGTAGACGCGAGGGCCAGGGGGCAAAGTCTGACCCAGTCCGCCGCTTGGCACTTCCGCCCAAGACCCGGGGAACGCCAACACACACCACGTGGTCCTCCAGGGCCGCAGCTAGCCGCCGCTGAGAGTGACGAGCCAGACCACGGGCAGCGAGGAACACGGGCGGCCCTGGGAGGGGGGGGGGGCAACCACACCGACGTCTGCAGTACGTCAGGCGGGCCCCAGGGCCAAGGGCGGGGGACACTCGCCTGGCCCGAGAGGGGAGGTGCGAGGGGAAGCAACGCCTCTCCCCTCAGCCTGGCCCCGGATCCGTGGGTCAGGGGCAATGGTCATTCTCGGGGGTCGCAGCTGATCGCCGCTATGATGTCTCTTTCATTTCCTCGGGGGTCGCAGCTGATCGCCGCTACGATCTCTATTTGATGGTTGGTGTCTCCGATTGTTGGTCCTCCAGGGTCGCAGCAAACCGCAGCTGATGTGAAACTGCAGTGAGACAAGATAGCGGGGGTGGTTGGTCCTCGGGGGTCGCAGCTGATCGCCGCATGAGTCAGCAATTGACAGAGAGGTGACCAGGCAAGGTCGCGCTCATCGCCAGGCAGACGGGGGGAGGCCGAGGCCCACTTCCTGCCCCAGGGCAGGAAGTGGGCCACAGCGCCCCCCCCGCCTGCCTGGCGGCGGGAAGAGGCTTGCCGCCGCCCCCTGTGTAAGAGCAGCGTGCGATGCCACTTCCAGCCTCCGCCACACGCGCTGAGACACCCGCCAGGCCCCCGAGGAGACAGGCGGGGGGAAAGCCGCCCCCCCCCTCGGTCCGGCCTCCGCACCCGTGGGATAGGGGAAGTGGTTGGTCCTCCAGGGCCGCAGCTGATCGCCGCTCAGGTCAGTGAAATATGAGTGGGTCCTTCGAAGGTCATGGCGCCGATGGACGGGTGGGAGCCTCTCCGCGGACCTCGGGCTGCACTGAGTGCTGACCCAGCGCTGTAGCTGATGACGTCTGGCTCAAACTTGGCCCGTCGCATTCGCTGAGGAGCGACAGGGCCGGCACCCACTGCCCGACCTTCTCACGCGCGCTGATCTCGGGAATGTAGCTGCAGCGTCTGGCTGCAGCGTCGCCTTCCACCACTCGCTGCGCGGCGACGGCCGATGTCACTGCCCGCCTTTCTCGCACGCCCGACCCCAGCGTTGAAGCTGATCATGTTGGACTCCAGCTTCACGTCGGACACTCGCGGAGCGGACGTGGAGCCTGAGGCCACTGATATTTTCTCGCACGTGTTACTGCCAGCGATGTACCTGATGACGTCAGGCCAGATTTCGCCTCTCGACTCTCGCTGAGCAGCGACAGTGCCTGCTGCCACTGGCCGCCTGTCTCGCACGTGCTGATCGCGACGTTGCACCGATGGCGTTTGTCTCCGACCTCGCGGCACAACACCCGCCGAGCTGGGACAGCGCCTGCTGCCATTGCCCGCCCTTCACGCACACTCTGGCCCCACTGCTGTACCTGATCACGTTGGGCCCCAATGCCGCCTGCCGCATTTTGCCGGGCAGCGACAGGGTCTGCTGCCAGTGTCCACCCTTCTCGCACCTGATCCCAGCGCTGCAACTGATGACAGTGGGCTCCCACTTAGCTTCCCACATTCCGGCAATGGCGCCGGAGCACGTTGCCACTCCCAGTTTCCCTGCCACACTGATTCCAGCGTCGTAGCTGACAACACTGCGCTCCAATTCAACCTCTGACACCCACTGAGCAGCGACAGCGCGAGTTGCCATTGCTCACCCCTGGCGCACGCGCTGCCCCCAGCG